TGTTGGACACCCGACCTATGACGTCACTGTGTAACCTCCCACTGGTGACTCCTGTAACTTCCGGTACTGCTACAATACGTCACCTGACTGCGACGTCATCGACTCCCTCCCCCCCCCCAATCTCAATAGACGTGTACGTGGAAATGGCCCGTCCAAAAAAAATGGCCAGGATTTATGAGTGGCCTCGGGCCATTGTGTAAAAGATTTGCAGGCACTCACTCGCAACTGATTGGATCTTCTCGCTCACGTGTCCCGTGTTCGATTAAGGGGAAACAACTCGCCGTAATGCAGCGGCGAATTGAAGAAGGGGCGGTGACTCATGCCAGTTTAGGGCGCGATTAAGTAAGACTCAGAGCCAAGGTGGACAACTCGGGTAAGATTCTGGAAAATTCGAAGTCTCCGTTGTTGCTGCTTCAGTGAAGCAAGACAAAACGGAAACATAAATTTCTCAGCATTCCATAGAAGAGGCAAATCGGTGGACAAATCGAAAATATAAAGAAAACGCCCAAAAATTTATAGCTAGACATATTTAAGCAATTTGCTTACATATCTGTTTACACGCACATGTACGCACGCACGCACATACGCACGCACCTACACAAAAGTTGTTTATTTTGCGCGCTGATGTGTTTTCTAACATGCTGTTATGGGGTCTTAGGGGTCATCCGTTTATCACGTTCTCTAAAAATTTTAAGGTTAGACCCCCTTCCCCCCCCCCCCCCCCATCCCGGTCCATTTACGTCCATGTTGAACCTACTCCTTCCTTATGTTGACGTCCGCGAAAAAGTTCAAGTTTTCTTTAAAAAAATATTTCCAATTAATTAACTTTTAACTCAAAACTAGGAATTGGTTATCCAAGCTTGTCACACACATCAATATATAACATTTCATATAACATGGTACCACATATAACATTTCATATAACATGGTACCACATATAACATTTCATATAACCTGGGACAATATTTAACGTTCCACATAACATAGTCATTACATCCCCCGCTACATCTTCAAAAAGAAAACAAAAAGTAAGGAATGATTTCAATATTTTATTGCGTGTAAGTCAAGGAAAGACTTATGTCAAAGTACGGGTTTTGAACTCTTAACCTTCCGGGTTAGCAAGCGAATGTGCTACCTCTGGACCACGTCGTCCTCGATTGTTTTGTGGCTATTTCGGACATATATCTCAATAGTAGAGTTCATCAGTTTCTGAAACTCGGCACATAGAGCATTGTGTGGTCAATTATATGCCCAGGCGCCTTTAGGTTTCTCTAATGCCAGCCAGATGCCCATCAAAGGCGGGTGGACACGGATCTGAACTTGAGACTTTCGCGTTAACAGTAGTGCGCTCTACCGTTTGACTACGCTGTCATTCAGGTGAACGGAAAAAAAAAACGTCACAGGAAAAAAAATCACAACCTACGCACAATACATTACATTTAATTAATCTAAGTTGATTTGCACTTTCTAAATATTTAATACATTTTGCTAAAATATTTTTACGTTAAACCTTTTCTCTTTTCTATTTAAGAATCAAAATGAGCGAACATATTCTAGTTTCTGTCTTTAAAAAAATGCGACTCAGAACTGATGTCAATAAAAGTACAGAAATCTGGGGCCGGTGTGGTCGCGGTCTAGCACAGTGTCGAGTGACCGACAGCTGTCATGGCGTTCAGACTGAAGAACAAGGTCTGCTGGTGGGTGCTGGGCAAACCACAACGCAAGAGAACGACGCCCACTGCGGCACCATCGACGCAAGTACCATCCCACCGGTACCAGCTGCGCTAACTCTCACGGCTCCGACCCTCCGAACCGGAACCGGCTCTCCCTAAACCGGACGAGCCGTCCGGTAAAAGTAATTTTACGCCGTACGCACTCCGAAGCACCGGTTCTTAGTTCCTTGTGGGGGAACTGGTCAGTGCGACTATAACTAGAGGGAAGCCAGCGAAAGTCGAACCGCCTGATGAAGATGACGGAGCAGAGAAATAACCAATGTGGCTGTACCGCATTCGGCGAAAGGTCAAAGACCTTCTGACGTCATTTCCGCTCTTTGAAAGCGAAAGGCTATAAAATAAGCGCCGCCCATGTACAGTCAAGAACTTGACCAGATTTTAAAAACATTTCCACTGAAATTATATTCTATCAAGGTCCTTTTTATGACCAACTGGTGACTACCAAACGAATTGGGGCTGAGATTCATTGCATGACATCAAACACAACATAAAATAGGAGCTTATATGGTGTGTAGCTGTGTTGGTTTTGTTTTGTTTAATCCAATTTTTTGTTCTAGTCTGTCAACAAATGATAAGCAACGAGTGACACTTTAACATGCACAAACATGAACAAATATAATTGTTGTTTAATTTTACAGATGATTAATTTTAAAATATAGGTGTTTCTGTTGTGAGTTTCAAATAAAACTGTTAATGTTGTAAAATTGTATATAGCGATCACCAGTGGTGTCACCAGGACGGGTGTCACTCGGTGAGGGTGTCACCTCACACCATTCTCCGAAAATTTTGCATTTTCGGTTTGGTGTCACCCTCTACACTATGTTTAGAATTTTGCTTCAGGTTTTGAAATTTTACGATCACTACATCTCCTTCACACCGTGAACTACCTCCACCCTTCATCGACATTTTTTGTTGTGGACTATCCTGTATGCTTTCATAAGTAAACGTTGCATAACACATCACATAAAAACCTATTTTCAAAACATCACGTAACTCCGATGTTTAAAACACCACATAATTCACATTTTTAAACACCACATAATTAATATTTTTAAAACATCACATAATTAACATTTTTAAAACCACATAATTCACATTTTTAAAACCACATAATTCACATTTTTAAAACACCACAAAATTGGATTTTTTAAAACACCACATAATTCAAATTTTGTTTTTTAAACTACATACTTCAGATGTTTAAACATCATAATTCACATGTTTAATATTCACATAGTTTCCGTCTTTCATACATCACATGATTCAAACTCCAAATTCTAGCCTACATGTATTCTGTTTACGTCACCTACCAGATATTTCGATTTCCAAAAATACTTCTCTGCTAATAATTCTTTATTATGTACATCTCGCCCAAGAAAAATATTAAAATTCGATTAAAAATCTGATAATTTTTCTTCTATAAAAGTTAGGAAAACGACGAAGCAAAAGGTAAACGGAGTTTCAAATGTATGGAAGAGACAAGACACCATGAGAAAACTTCTAATCAAGGGAAGTAAATCTTCGAATCCTCCGTTATCAGGGGCCCAGGGGAAATCAGCGGATAGGAAGTGCGTCAAAGCGGGGAACGAGCAGGGAGCCATTTTGGTTCAGAAGGTCAATCAACGATCCCCTTAACCCCCTTAATAATGACGTCAGCGTTTGGAAGGATCCTTGACAGGCAGTTTGGTGACGAAGACAGGAATAGATGGCACCTCTAGAATATGCGGACACGTGCATTCGTCTTGGAATAAAACTCGTTTTTTACACATTTTTTTTTCTTTTCAACTTTCTTCAACTCTACTGCACCAGATTCAGATGTGTTCCTGCAGTTATATGACTGCTCACCTAATTAATCCATGCTTCACCCTCCCCTACTTCTGTATCCAATTACATTAATGAAGATCTTGTAATTAGAGCTATTTACAACAATTTTTAGACTTCAACCTAAAAACGTATTCAATTTATACGTATGATGTATATATATATATATATATATATATATATATATATATATATATATATATATATATATATATATATATATATAGGCCTATATCTTGTAAGCTGTCATTTTTGGTATATGTTGACGCGCATTAATTCATTTATACATTTAATACTTTCAATTTTTCTTGTAATAATATTCGTGTTCATTTTAAACTTCAACTTTGTTGAATCGTATTTATTTAGATGTACACCATAAACATTAGTCATTTAATTATGACATCCTTATCCTATCCCAGAATTCAGTTGATAGGTGATATATCCTGGTTTACCGAAAATGCTTGTTAAATTTAATGAAAATGTAATATAATTAAAAGCTTCTTTAACTCTGAGTATCATATTTAATGAAGTCATGCCTAGAGTCACATTGTGTGGTATAATTGGCCTTTAAGAAAACTGAGTCACGTTTTAATTAAATGTTTTTAGACGTTTTTAGTTTGTGTGTGTGTGTGTGTGTGTGTGGTCAAATGGCCATCTAGGGGGCGCACGTGCATCGTGAGTAACCCACGGGCGCGTGAGATCTGGGTGAGTCATTGTCGTGGGTCAGCTGATGAGCTCATCTTGTCGTGAGGAGGGGTCAGTCACTAGCTGAGAGGGTCAGTCACTAGCTGAGAGGGGATTGTCGCCTGCGTACATTCACCTGCCAAATGTCACCTGTCACTGGTCATGTGTCATCAGTCACCTTTCACCTTTCAACAGTCACCTGTCAACTGTCAACAGTTACCTGTCAACAGTCACCTGTCAACAGTCACCTGTCACATGTCAACAGTTACCTGTCAACAGTCACCTGTCAACAGTCACCTGTCAACAGTCACCTGTCAACAGTCACCTGGCAACAGTCACCTGTCAACAGTCACCTGTCACATGTCAACAGTTACCTGTCAACAGTCACCTGTCAACAGTCACCTGTCAACAGTCACCTGTCAACAGTCACCTGGCAACAGTCACCTGTCAACAGTCACCTGTCACATGTCAACAGTCACCTGTCAACAGTTACCTGTCAACAGTCACCTGTCAACTGTCACCTGTTAACAGTTACCTGTCACCTGTCAACAGTCACCTGTCAACTGTCACCTGTTAACAGTTACCTGTCCACAGTCACCTGTCCACAGTCCACAGTCACCAGTCACCTTCTGAAAGTCACCAATTACCAATCTCCTGCCAACACAACAACCACAGTCACCTACCAAACATCCGCGTAGTATGTGAAATAAATTCAAACAACAAATGAATGAAATTTTTCCAAATACTTTTAATGAAGATCAAGCTCTGCTCCACACCCGACCTTCAACCCTTGGCAAGTCACGCGTGACGTCGTGGGTGACGTCATAAGTGACGTCACAGATTGCTTATCGTGTTCGAAGATGGTTGGCTATCGTCCAAGCGCGTCAAGATCTGGTAGAGTGAGGACAATGATCCCAGTTCCTTTGGCGTGTTCCCTTCGGCTAGTTCCGAGCTGTCCTCGGCCGTGACCTCATCCTTTGACCTTGAGAAGCCTGACCTTTTGAAGTAGCCGGTGTCCACTAGGCCGACACAGTTCGTGTACCGCTGCCACTCGCTCTGAAAGGGGAGGGGGTGGATGGAGGTTGGGGGATATATAGACGTTATTAGTGGTCAGAGGAGTTAAAAGTTAAGGTTTAAATAAATTTGGCGGGTCATTATGTGGAATTCAGAATAGTTAACTTTGATGGCATGTAGAAGAAAAGGCCGATTTCCAAAAGGTCGTCATTACAAAAAAGCCGACATGGACAAAAGGCCTACACAAACAGCCAAGTTGACAAAAGGCCGACTGGACATAAGACTCACTGGACGTAAGGCCGACAGACTATAAGGCCGACATAAAAAAGGCCGACATAAAAAGCTAACTTGTTACAAAAAGTTAATGTTGCTTTTATGTTTCACACTCTACTAAAATCTTGCTCCCATATTAGCCACTAGTCACGATTATGAATATCCGATGTCCCAAGGGAGGTAAATAAAAACATAAAAAGGGACACTACTCACGTTTAGTATTTTGTACACATCTGGGTTAGTTTCCTTTAGCATGCCCAACACAGTGGCAAGGGCAGTAACCTGGTACTTTTCGGCTGAAAAAAATAAACAGAAAACTGTTTATACACATTAGTAACATTTAATAAAATAATCATAGGAGTTTTGTATTTTATTTTTCATATGATGATGGTATTCTATAACTATTTTCATTAGTTTAATTACAGAGTAGGTCCATAATTTATCTGCGGGGCAATACGTCACAAAATTACCCCAAAGTCAATAGCTTACCAAGTCAATAATTCATTAAGTCAACATTTCATTAGCTCAATAATATACCCGAAAATCTACCCGTTAACAATCAACCTAATTAAAAATTCACCATATCAAATGTACCCTAGTCAATAATCCACCAAGTCAATAATCCACAAGTCAATAATCCACCAAGTCAATAATCCACCAAGTCAGTAATCCACCAAGTCAATAATCCACCAAGTCAATAATCCACCAAGTCAATAATCCACCAAGTCAATAATCCACCAAGTCAATAATCCACCAAGTCAATAATCCACCAAGTCAATAATCCACCAAGTCAATAATCCACCAAGTCAATAATCCACCAAGTCAATAATCCACCAAGTCAATAATCCACCAAGTCAATAATCCACCAAGTCAATAATCCACCAAGTCAATAATCCACCAAGTCAATAATCCACCAAGTCAATAATCCACTATGTCAACGATCCACGGGAGAACATTCATTACTACGTCTTCAAGAAACACATCATCACAGAAATATTATTCAGCAAAACATTCAGCTTTAAAGCTATTAAATACACTGCAAATAAGAAAATAAAACTAAATGCTTTCTTAATTTAAAAAAACAAACTTTGGTGGCTAAAATGCGTAAGCGACCAATCGTTTTATTAAAGAAAGCTAATTAGTTTTATTTCTTATTTTCAGTGCATTTAAAAGCTTGTTATTATGAAGGTTTTCATACTTGTGATAAATATTTAAATATCAACTTTTAAAAAATATTTCTATAAAATATTAAAATCAAACATTTGCATGTAAAATATTAAACGAAAATAAAACATTACTGAACTTATTTCTGTTTTTTTTTTTTTTTTTTGCAGTATGTGTTCAACGTTGTATTCCATCCTAGCGAGTGTTTTTAGGACTTTCAAACTAGTAAAAACTACCAACTAGTCTTGGCAGCACCCCCCCCCCCTCCCCCCCCCCCTCCCCTCCCCCGAAACTACCATCCTACCCTCCGGACATAATTATTCGTTAAAAATGTTAAACGATAATTACATGTGTGGGTAAGGTTAATAAATACAACGCTTATTTAAAAAATAGATTTTTGCTGGTATAGGTGGAGGTCTAGAACCTTGATGGTGGAGATCGGGGGGGGGGGGGGGGGGTCAAGAAACCTGATGGTGGAGATGTGGGGGGGGGGGGGTCAAGAAACCTGATGGTGGAGATGTGGGGGGGGGGGGTCAAGAAACCTGATGGTGGAGATGGGGGGGGGGGTCAAGAAACCTGATAGTGGAGATGGGGGGGGGCACAAGAAACCTGATGGTGGAGATGGGGGGGGGGGGTGTCAAGAAACCTGATGGTGGAGATGGAGGGGGGGTGTCAAGAAACCTGATGGTGGAGATGGGGGGGGGGGTCATGAAACCTGATGGTGGAGATGTGGGGGGGTCAAGAAACCTGATGGTGGAGATGGGGGGGGGGGTCAAGAAACCTGATGGTGGAGATGGGGGGGGGGGTCAAGAAACCTGATGGTGGAGATGGGGGGGGGGGACACAAGAAACCTGATGGTGGAGATGGGGGGGGGGTGTCAAGAAACCTGATGGTGGAGATGTGGGGGTCTATAAACTTAGCCCACGCGATATTTAACGTACTATTGTACCCGACTAGGTTGGATGTCTGTTTCTGCCCTTACATTTTATAAAAAAATTCAGTGTTTCAAAAAACTACCTTTTAAAACGTTTTTTTTTAATTTTAATTTTGGTTTTTATTGTTTTTATCCACATCTATTAAATTTTATCAAGAACAATTGTAATTTGTTAATTGCCGATTAGATTTAAGGCAAATATATTTTTATGGGAGGTAATCAGAGATTTAAAAATAGGTGTTTTTTTTTAATCTTGTTGTCTCCCTTTGACCGCCGCGACAACACAAATGTTCTAATTGGTTATTTGAGAGCGGTGTCCAGTTGCTTTTGTTGTTATTTGATTCACGACATAAGATATCATAAACAATATTTTCTCTGCTTTGTGATTCAGAATTGCTTTTTTATTTTTACTTTTGTCTTCCCTTTGTTGCTTTGTTTCCTTCCCTTTGCAGTTGTTCTTTCATTTCTTCTGTTTGTAGTTTTTTTTTTTTTTTTACTTTTTCTCCCTTTTATTATTTTGTTGTTTTGCTTTCTTTTATCTGTAGTGTAGTTTTCTATCTGTTGTAGTGTAAGTTAGTTACTTTTGTATTTTTGTAATATTTTTTTTTCACGGAACATAATTTTTAAATGCACATGTTTTAAATGCACCCATCCACACAGAAACAATCCCCCCCTACACACACACAACGTCATCTCCCTCCCATTACTTCCTCGACCCCCCCCTCTCCTACGGATACAAGCCCACTCATATACCCCCCCCCCTTCCCCTGACACAAGCCCTCATACAAACCCTCAATCTCCTCCCCCCCCCCCCTGACAAACTCTCCATCTATACCCCCCACCACAAGCGACAGCGACTCCTCTGATATTTCATCTACGTCATATCCGTCTCATTAAATAGCTGTTAATTTTCAAATTTAATATTAATTTAAACTGTCCACAAAAGAAAGCAATTAGACTATTTTAATCACGATCGTCAAGACAAAGGCGGATTAGAAAACGTGAAACTTTCAAGGCCTATAGTATACACCCCCGCCCACGTTAGGGGGGTGGGGCTGGGACACACGTCATTGGCACACCGCCTCGCTCACCTTTCAAGACTGAGGCAGCTTGTCTTTACGGAGAAACCTAATCATAGAAATGTCTTCAACACTTTAGCTAAACGATCCCCCCCCCCCATTTCTTTCTTCCTCTTATTTGTTTAGCGCAAAGTACTGTTAAACTATAAATCCCCCCCCCCTATCTCGACAAAATCATGGCGTCTGTTCTGTCACCAGTTCAACAACCTAAGATACATCTGTCTGCCTCTCAACTGTCTGCCACTAATCTGTCTGCCTCTAATCTGTCTGCCACTAATCTGTCTGCCACTAATCTGTCTGCCACTAATCTGTCTGCCACTAATCTGTCTGCCACTAATCTGTCTGCCTCTATTCTGTCTGCTTCTAATGTGTCTGCCACTAATGTGTCTGCCTCTCATATGTCTGCCACTAATCTGTCTGCCACTAATCTGTCTGCCACTAATCTGTCTGCCACTAATCTGTCTGTCACTAATCTGTCTGCCACTAATCTGTCTGCCTCTATTCTGTCTGCTTCTAATGTGTCTGCCACTAATCTGTCTGCCTCTCATATGTCTGCCGCTAATCTGTCTGCCACTAATCTGTATGCCACTAATCTGTCTGCCTCTCATATGTCTGCCTCTATTCTGTCTGCCTCTAATATGTCTGCCACTAATCTGTCTGCCACTAATCTGTCTGCCACTAATCTGTCTGCCACTAATCTGTCTGCCACTAATCTGTCTGCCACTAATCTGTCTGCCTCTATTCTGTCTGCTTCTAATGTGTCTGCCACTAATCTGTCTGCCTCTCATATGTCTGCCACTAATCTGTCTGCCACTAATCTGTATGCCACTAATCTGTCTGCCTCTCATATGTCTGCCTCTATTCTGTCTGCTTCTAATCTTCATTAATCTGCCTGCCCCAAATGTTTCTGCCTCTAAAATGTCTGCCTAATAATTGATTTCCTAATTTTTCACCCTCTAATGTTAGGTATACACGATTTCATAGATAATAATACCGGGAGAAAAGATAAATATAGAAGCTATTTATATTGTTTAAATAAAGATGCACTAGACCACCAGTATTGTCTGGAAGTATTGTTATGTTGCTATGGTAATACAAACATCTTTTTAAAATGTGAAGCACATATAGAATCTCATCATCTGATGCTCATGTTGGTATGACTTCCGTATTCGTTTCTTAGAAACTAACCTCAGCAGATAAGTGGGTCATCTATACACGACACTACTTTCCTAAGGGGAGGACAGGGGGTAGGGGAGGGGGGTGGAATTTCGTGACGATGTGTCACGATGGGTGGGGTGCGAGGGGAGGGGGGGCTAGAAAAAAGTAACCCTAGAAACTAAAAAATGTGTTTTGCTAATTGTAAAAAAATTGATTGAAATAGCCTATCAAATATTTTAGATTCTACTGTTTTACAAAACTGCCGTAGGTCGGTCTCCACATCATCTATCCATTTGAGTCTTTTGGGCGTTTACTTTTGGGAAACTTTCATTCTGGTGTTAGACAGTCTTTACAGATTATCTAACTACTTCAGGCTTCCCTTTTTGTGCATGTCACAACTCTCTGGTTCGGTACGAAAATCTTCATCAATAGGGCCTATTCCTCAAGTATCTATCCAAATTTTTTTTTAGGATTTTCCTCTCCCAGGTGTTCAGTAGGTTTTCTGGTATATTTTTGAAATTGTTCGTGTTTTATTGACATCACGAGCTGACCCGCGACGTAGCATACGTTGCTATCTAGTTGTTTTATTTTCTACTTATCAACAATTCATAATTTGTGAATTCGACAGGTGGGGATGAGTGTGGTGGCTAAGCTGCGTGGTGTCTCGTGTGGTCCCCATGAAGAGAATTATATATATAGATTTTCGTTGGTCTTATAGAAACTTGGCAACAATTCTAAAAATGTGTCGTTTTTATTTTGTTTAACAGCTACTGCAACCAATGTAATCTTGTGTGCTTACAGATTTTATTTATAACTGCCTGTCACTGCTGTAAAACATGTTTTTAAAGTACTTACAGATTTTATTTATAACTGCTTGGTACTATAAACCATGTTTTAAAGTACTTACAGATTTTATTTATGACTGCTTGGTACAACTGTAAACCTTGTTTTTAATGTACTTACAGACTTTTTAAATAACTGCTTGGTACTACTGTAAACCATATTATTGAGGTACTTACAGATTTTATTTTTGACTGCCTGGTACTACTGTAAACCATGTTTTTAAAGTACTTACAGATTTTATTTATGACTGCCTGGTACTACTGTAAACCATGTTATTGAGTTACTTACAGATTTTATTTATGACTGCCTGGTACTACTGTAAACCATGTTATTGAGGTACTTACATATTTTATTTATGACTGCATGGTACTACTGTAAACCATGTTATTGAGGTACTTACATATTTTATTTATGACTGCTTGGTACTACTGTAAACCATGTTTTTAGTGTACTTACAGATTTTATTAATAACTGCTTGGTAATATAAACCATGTTTTTAAAGTAATTACAGATTTTATTAATAACTACTTGGTACTACTGTAAACCATATTTTTAAAGTACTTACAGATTTTATTTATGACTGCCTGGTACTACTGTAAACCATGTTATTGAGGTACTTACATATTTTATTTATGACTGCCTGGTACTACTGTAAACAATGTTATTGAGGTACTCACATATTTTATTTATGACTGCCTGGTACTACTGCTGGTACTACTGTAAACCATGTTATTGAGGTACTTACATATTTTATTTATGACTGCCTGGTAGTACTGAAAACCATGTTATTGAGGTACTTACAGATTTTATTTATGACTGCTTGATACTTTCTGAGCTGGTGGTCCCCACAGGAGCTGACGGCAGTCACGTGACACAGGCACGTGTAGAGGATGACGAGGCGGGAGAGTTCTCTTCTCTTGATCATGTTTTTCAGCTTGGTGGCGCCTGAGGTAGACCAAGCAAGAGGTTAAAGGTCAGGGAAAATGGCGTACGGGTTGGGTTTATAGAACCGTTTGGTGTTTTAATTTATTAGCGGTGTGAACATTGGGTAAAGTTGGTATCGCAGGTTATTTTACAATGTTAGTAACAGTAGGTCATAACGAAGATCATTTGCGAAAAATCTAACACGTCATTTCTAAAAGGGTTTTGTTGAAGTTAGTACCCCATGGCCAGTTGAGCAAGTAATTTCTTCAGACTATTAAAACGGGTCATTTTTTGGCTGATTGCAAACTTAGTATTTTTTTCATATCAGTGTTATAAAAAAAAAACCTACTCCAGCTGAAACAAACTTATGGGAACATATTTATGTATGTGTTTTCCGAGTGTACAGCAACCAGATGTATCGATAAAACTGTATGTGACAAGATCCACGCGGGTTTAGCTGTTGTGATTGACCAACACAATCTGCAACATTTTGATGATTTCAGTGTCCTTATAAAGACATGCTATCACTACTTTTATATGTTATAATACTTTAATGAGCCGTCAATTTGAATTGTGCGGGTTTTCCTTAGTTCTGCGTGTTTTTTAAAAAAAAGATATGAATGTACTCAGAGGCGTCGCAAGGCGGGGCGGGTGGGGGTGGGGGGTGCAGACACCATTTACTAAGGAAAACCCACATGATGCACATTGACGGCTTATAAAGTTATAGCACACTTTGTTGTAAATATACGGCTGACATATTAGGTAATGAAATCATGTATTATCGCTCTTGAATCGCAATGTGCCTTTTTTTTTGCTTCTTGTTGTTTGTATAATGTTGAGTTTTTAAAAGATTTCGTCCACATAGCGAATCATAATTTCCCCCCCCCCCCCCCCCTCTCTCTCAGAAAGTCTACCGCCCCGCCCCCCCCCCCCCCCAACGAAATGCAATTTATATAGAAAATATATACTTTTAACAGTGTCCACCAACCCCCCCTCCGATCTACCACTCCACCCCCCTCAGAAAATTTAAAGTGCCCCCCCCCCCGGAGAAAAAAGTCTGGAAGAAACACTGTAGCCGATCTATTTCCGTGGACCACCTAGTAACGTTAAAATAGTTTGTTGGAGATCCCTACTCCCGCAAAAAAAAAATAAACAAAACAAACTAAGCATGTTTTTCGAGTGAAATGTATTTATTAAACAGCTTAGTAAACTATAGCGGCCGCAAACGATTTCATTATCCAGTGTGAATATAATTTGTTTATAAATATTTTTAAAAAAGGAAAATCAAATCTAAATGATTTAAATAAATGCCTCGTCTTTACTCCACACGCACACATACACAGACACACAGACACACAGACACACACACATATATATATATATATATATATATATATATATATATATATATATATATATATATATATATACAGTGCGGAACTAGATGCGGTATCTTGCAGCTGTTTCTATAAATAATTCCAGTCCTCTTAATTTTCAACCAATCAAATTAAACTTACACAACTCGTTTTTAATAACCACTTTGTAACATTAGTCGGTCTACTTTTGTATTACTTAGTTTTAAATGTCAAAACTAAATCGGAATGACCTTTTAAACAAAGACAGCGGATGTTGGACCTCTTTATCCGAGTGTTCCAATAAAGCTATTTCTTGTCATAACTATGGAACAGTCAGTACTATTGTGTTATAAAGTATTATCATGAGTTTATACTGGGAAATGCCAGCTTCTTCTAAAAGTGCATCACATGAAAGGGAAACTAAAATATATTTTAATCACCGCCTCTGCCAACGATCCAAATTTAATACAGACTAAGTGTGTTCTTTTATATATGTATCGCTTAAAAATATGTCTAGATAATCTAAGCTGCGATCTTAACTTTGAAGGAAACAAGTTAATTAAAAAGTCTAGTGACATTTATGCGCAATTTCCTTATGTTATCTAAAAATAGCTCTGACGTATAATGCTGGGATGCGTTCAAGCTAGAAGAACGATCGGTTTGTAGGTGTTTATGTAATTTTAAAATTTGTGACTAAACGAGAGGATATTTTTGAAAACTTTCTTCGGCAATATTGTTCTAAATTATGGCAGGAATCGATTGGTACATGTTTCAAGTCGCTAAGTCGTCTGGTTGCCGAGATATGGGCCAAAAACTGCATTTTTTCGAGGTTTTTTTGATTTTTCGGGAAATACATGAAAGAAAACCCGGAATTTTTATGGCCTATGCTCATTCTCGTAACTTGCTTAACATAATTGCTTTTCGAACTAGTCATCGATATTGCTTCGTTGAGGAGGAGATACGACTTAAAGCCCGGACACACATTCATCCATACATTCATTCATCCATCCATCCATCCATTCCCAGAAATGACGCGTTAATAAACGCAATTCTCCAGAATGGAAATTGCGCTAAAAACGTGATATTTTTACTGGTGTTCCCTACTCTTTTTAATCATAAAGTTGCAAATTGATATACTCGGTTGTCTTTTATTTCTGTTTCATTAAAACGGGCATGATGTGCTTAGGGATTTGATTGTATCGCTTAAATGGTCAATTGTTTTTTGTTTGTTTGTTTTTTTCTTTGCCTCTTAGAACTTGTGAAATATCTGAAAGTGCATTTAAGCGAGACACTGCGTTTAGTGCTGTAATTTTAACCTTAAAGTGATATACTGCCACGATAATTAGCGGGGGTTAGGTCTCCTGTATATTCTAGCGCATTCTACTATAACGGTAAGGGTTGGGATGGCGCTTCAGTATAATCTGGTTATAGAAATGGTTGGTCAAAAGTTTATAGAAACCTACAAATAGGGTCTAACTATTATTTATGACATTTCGTACACATAACTGAAATGGTTATCAAGTTGTTTTGTTTATTCACACACAATGACACACACAATGACACACCCACACACAAGCTGACACACACACACGCACGACACATACCACAAACACACACAAAAACTAACACACACACACAAACACACTCACACACACTGACACACACGGACACGCTTGAATACTCACACACACACACGCGCACATACACACACAAGGTAGGAAAAGAGTGAATGACCAAACCAAAAAGGCGTAGAACGACAAAGTGTGTCAAAATTCTCCATTAAGAGTTTAACACGATTACAATACCCCCCCCCCCCCCAATAAGCTTTATACGAAAGAGTTATTAAAAAATTCATAAACGTTTTAATAACAAGCTTTTATGTACTGATGCATTAAAAAGTAGAACATAAATGAGTTTCTTAAAATATATAGTAATATAATACACTACTATTTATATAACTATAAAGAAAAGCGCTTCCTAAATATTAGTAAAAGCATCCAATAGATAATATTATAGTGACCCACGCTTTTCTTTATAGTTATCTAAATAGTAGTGTATTTTATTACTATATATTTAAAGAAACTCATTTATTTTCTACTTTTTAGTGCATTAGTACATAAAAGCTTGTCATTAAAACGTTTTTATGATTTTTTTCCCCCACTTTAAATTTTTTAATGGAATAGAGTTGCATGACTAGAAACTATTGCGCACCAAATGAACATAATAATGTGCGTATAATAGTGCGGAATCGTAGGATCGGACAGCCTACTAATTTCAGAAAATTTTAATTAATTCATACAAAAATTAATTAGGCATCCAAATAAGTCAAATTTAAAGTCATATTGCATTGTCATCGGGTGCCAAATTCCAGAAAAAAATAATCGGTTAGAAGTGCCCGAAATTTCGCTTGCCCGTTTCGATCTAGACAGGATGGATGAAGACAGACAGACAGACGAAGCGAGTTAAATAAAAGCTTGTAAAAGTTTGAAGTTCTTTGTAAAAAAAAAACTACCTTCCTCTTCCTTCTTAATTGTAACGAGCCGACCCGCGGCGTATCATACGCCGCTATTTAGTTGATTTATTTTCTACTTTTCAGTAATTCATAATTTGTGAATTCGACAGTACCAATGCTGCCACTGAAAATATTTGCTTTAAAACACTAACCCCCATCCTTTCCCCTAACCCCGACCCTACACCCCCCCCCCCCCCCGCGAAAGCAGCCTCCTCTTAGTTACCACCTGTAAGTTTAAAGTCGGTTCAAACTAAATTATCTGCCCCTAATAGCCGTCACTAAACCTGGCTGTACGGTTTGTAAACATTAACGTGACCACAGCTCAGCAGACCATGTGGGGGTGGGGTAGGGTGGTAGTGATAGTGATAGAGACAAAGAGAGGGGACTGTAAGGAGGCGCTTGCAGCTTGTTTTCTAATGGCTCGCAGAGGAGAATTATATATATAGATATTGGAAGGGATTTCTTCCAACACATTTAAGTATTACGTGTCAACGTATTATGCGCCATAAGGTTCCGATTTCAAACTGCTGATCTGTTACAATCTAGACGTGCTTTTGTAGGCCTAATATCAAGAACATTCTACATGGCAGCAGTGAGTTTAAAGTAGGAGTTACCTCTTCTAGGTGATTAGCTGTCTAACAAGCCTCACCTGCCGGGGTGACTTTTGTGACTTTTGGATTAGCAATCGTGTGCATACCTGCCCGACCATGCCATCACTTTGAGTTATGTGTTCGGAAGGGACCGGGAATCGGTTATTAAAATTTGTATTTTTAACGACACCGGAAGTTGTATTTGCAGATGAGGCTCATTAGGGACGGGGGGGGGGGGCGACGACATTAAAGGCTAGGGAAGCAAGTTGATACGTAACCTTCACTTATGTTGGAGGAAAGACCATTTAATTTTAAAATAAAGAACGAAGTAGAAGAAAGAAAGACTTAACTAGATTTTGTGTCCAGTGAAAGAAGTGTCAAACACTATTGTTTTATTACTTTATTGAACTTGATCTAAAAATGTTACAGCCATAGTAACAATAAGCCCAGGTTACAATATCAGCCATAGTAACAATAATCCCTGGTACTGACGCAGATGGCTTGACAATAGGGCTAGCTAACAGGGCTAGCTGCCAGCACTGGAACTATTTTAGATTGTTGATCGGATTCCATATTAGTAAAAGATATACGTGCGCTAAAGTGTCGCTTCAGACAGTATCATATGAACAGGAGTGCAGCACCCACCATCCGGCGGATAGTAGCACGTGACCGGAAGAGACTTTGTCACGTGGCAAATCACTCGTTGGTATCGTGTGCTATATGGATAAGGTCACGAAACCTTCAACGTTGTATATAGTTTTCAGAGGTTTTTACAAACTTTTATTTAACTCACTTCCTCGTCAGGCGTCAGTTTGTCTAGATCGAAACGGCCGAGCAAAATTGCAGGCACTTCTACCTGACAGATACGGTTCGTAGTTGGAACGTGGGTCAAGACATGAGACAATGCAATATGACTTTAAATTTGAGTTAATTGGTTGCCTAATTAATTTTTTATGAATTATTGAAAATTTTGTCCAAATTAGTAGGCTGTCTCATCAAACTATTCCGCATTATTATACATTATAGTTCATTAGCAAAAAGAATTGCTCACCAAGTGAACGGCAAACAATATGTGCATAATAGTGCGAAATATTAGTACTTTATAAATTCATATGAGTTTTTTGAAAAATCGGAAATAGCGTAAATTACTACTTCCGGTCAATGGAAATGACTCAAAATTTGAAAGAAGACAGAAAATTAAATGTTTTACTTATATTTGAAATTTTTTTATCTATCTGAAACAGAACTCAAGTTATACGCATTTGAAAAACCATGGGTAGAAAAGTTCCACTTCCGGTTATCGGAAATCGCTGAAAAGTTTATACGAACCACAAATTTGATATAATACTTATATGTGAAATTTCATCAACCTAGCTGTAACGGTACTCAGGTTATCGTATTCACGAACACATACATACATACATACATACATACATAAACACACACAAACATACGGACAGAATTGCAAAGCCCAGTTTTTCTGGTTAATTTTGATTGACAGCAGTTAGTTATATGTAACAAGAATGTAGGCGGAGTCTGGCCCAGACGTCATAGTATAAAGTTACAACGCCGTTTTTGAGAATGCGTCATTAGAAACACGACACACGCCTCTTGAAAATTTGTCTTTTAATTTCTGTTTCAATTAACTCGGAAATTGAAACGATTTAAATTCACTTGACTTTTGTGTGTGTTATTGTCTATCATTTAATACGCAACTTTTTAATTATTTTTTTAAAACTTCTCAGCGTACTGTAATGCGGTTTTGTGTAAGTCTTAGGCTAGGATTTAAATGAACTTTGTTAACATTATACGTTATTCTTCTGTGAAACAATTTTTCTATAGAGCTGATGGGTGCATTGTTTCTTTCAGGATCCCTCGGGGCAGATGGCGTTGCCCTAGGAGCAAATCTACAGCTAACCTTATGTTGATGTTTAAAAAAATAATTTATAGACAATATCGACTTTAAAGAATACAAACGCAGTATGTCCACTTTTTTTGGGGTGAAATAAATGTACACTCATACTTGTACTGGCAATAATAGAAGATTCTAAAAACTTGTATTTTATAACCAGAAACTATAATGCTGATACTTTCTTTAACGTTTTAACATTTTAATACGGGTATGAATGAGTTTTTCTCCTCACTTACCTCGAGATTGGGCATAGTGCTGACCACACTATCTCTTCGTATGCCGAGGTCACAGAAACTAGTTAACTCTACTTCACTTGCCCTATAGACCGTCAGGTTTGAAAAGGGAACTTTACCTTGAGATTAGTTTTTTTTTGGACATACACGATTGATGTATAGATTAACCAGTGTCTGTCCCCTCCCCACCCTCCCATTCCCTCCCTCTCCCTTCTAAAAAAAGGTATCTATCAATAAAAATATCTGAAAGAAATCCCGATAGAACGTACTAACCTAACACACGAATGTAGCGTGAATTTTGCTTTATAAATTAGATTCAACACTTTTGGTCGCTTGTGTAAGGAATGACGTTATGGGTCTTTTAAAACAAACAAGTTAATAAAAAGTCTAGTGACAATTTAAGCGCAATTTCCTTAATTAATTTTTTGTGACCGAACGAAAGGATATTTTTGAAAACTTTCTTCGGCATGATTGTTCTAAATTATGGCAGGAATCGATTGGTAAATGTTTCAAGTCGCTAAGTGGTCTGGTTGCCGAGATATGGGCCAAAAAACTGGATTTTTTTTTTAGGTTTTTTGGCTTTTCCGTGAAATCCAGGAAGGAATTCCGGGAATTTTTTTGGCCCACAATCATCCTTGGAACTTGTTTAACATATTTGCTTTTGGAACTAGTCCTCGATATTGCTTCGTTGAGGAGGAGATACGACTTAAAGCTTCGGACACACATCCATTGCGGACACACATCCATCCATCCAGAAATGACGAGTTAATAATCGCAATTGTCCAGTATGGAAATTGCGCTAAAAAGTTATTAATTTAATCTAGGGTTATATTTGATCCTAGTGGTGACATAAAACATCTGTAGCATTAATTGAAGAGTATTAGTTATAGTTATTCCGCATTACTACTTCTGGCTTCTTTACCTCTATAGAGTCGATTACTTTATACATTAGCTTTGTTGTAAGTTTAAGAATGATTCTGTAAAATTTATTTTGAAAAAAATATTGCTGAGTTAGCTACCGTATTTATTTTAATAAACGGTTCATATAAAAAATGTTACTGCAAGACAAAAACGTGTGGGCGGTGGCCTTTTATTTATGCGTTCACTTATTATAGGAAAGTAAATGTCAATGATGTGATGTGACATTTAAATAAATTCATCAAATGTCAAGTAAAGTATAGCAGAATACGAAGCAGATCTAATTTCTTTAGCAGTGTCTTAATCAGGCTGTCGCTAATAAAGTTTAACAGTGTGTTTGGCCTTTGTGTGTACCTAGTGGTACGTCTTTATAATGTAGCCTTAGGTTAGCGAACTATACACCCTCTCCCACTCTCCCCCCACCCTTATTTTCCGACAAAACGAAAAAAAATACGTTTCATTTTAGACAAACTTTCAACTTGAAATAATTCACCAGCCACCACAAAATCAGAGTTTCTTCCAGGCATCTCTTCGTGGGGGGGGGGGGGGGAGGGGGAGGCAGAGCCCACCCCCCCCCCTCCCAGAAGAAAGTCTACCCCCCCCCAACGAGATGGATTTTATATAGTAAACATACACTTTTTAGTGTCCGCCCCCCCCCCCCCCTCCCCCGAAAAAATGTTGACCCTCCCCCCCCCCCCCCCCCGAAACTTTCAAGTGCCCCCTAGGAGAAAAACGTCTGGAAGAAACACTGCACCAAAATGAACGTGTCGGCCTTTAACTGCCATTACATGCAGACATGCTTAACGACACACAAATTAGCTTTGTTTTTCGGTTTGGACTTAAAATCTGTGTCACACAGATTTTAAGTCCAAACCGAAAAACAAAGCTAATTTTTTTTTTTAAAGTTCCGGCCGCTTTATTAGCTAAAAAAAAGAAAATGAAGGACTTAAACCAAAATAAATATACTATTATTAAAGTGGGGGTGATAACATCCTTGCTTTTCACAAACACACATGTGTAGATTTAGCATTATCCAGCTTTTAAAATGGTATTATTTTTATAACGTTATTTTATAACATATTTGAAAGTATAAAACAATCTATATTATTAAAATACTCTTCTACCAATATTCGTAAGTTTTTTTTTTTTTTAAATATTGAACTATAGGACATACTTCAAAATTATTTAACAACATCTTCAATCATTTTTTAACGCAGGCATCTCTTCCGGGCGGGCGGGGGGGGGGGGTAAGAAAATATATAATTTTACCAGTGTCCGCCACCCCCCTGAAAATGTCAAGTCCCGGTCGTCGTCCCCCCCCCCCCCCCGGAGAAAAAAGACTGGAAGAAACACTGAACGCAAACGTTTTAGCAAAATCTAATGGTACTGTGGTATGTCCGAATTTAGCACAGTGTAAACATTTTAAAGTAGGAAAAACATAATAGTCGCCATCAGCATTACTTGATTTTCTCACTTTTTAATAATTTCAACAAGCTTATACATTTATTATGCATCGCTAAATACAGCACTTTCCTATAAATAACATTTTATTCATACTTTTATGTTATTTTTTTTTTTAAATCCTTAAATAAATCAACTAGTTTGAAAAAGTAAATAAAAAAAATCTATCGAACTTTAAATATAATAAAAAACAAATGAAACTGAATTGAACTTTAAAATCAAGTAAACGTTTCACATACCTGACCAAATCGTCTGCTGCCACAAGCGTCTACTCTCTCCTGCTACAGCTCGCATTTTGTTTAGAAATTAATTTTATTATATTTTCGAATTTTTAAATTTCTTTTTTTACTGAAGCGACCTCAGTTCAGTGCGTTTTACTTGCTCAATTATTAACTTACTTGACTAAAAAGTTTCAAAGAATTCTTTTGTTCCGCTAAACTTTAACAATTTCTTATTTTCAAAAAATTAAAACTGCGGCTGTTTTCCTCATTTCTTGTTGAATTTATAAGACACTTGATCGACTTGATCGTTAATCAAAAAATAAAAACTCAACCGACAGTGTCCACGTGGTTCGCAGGAGTTCGTAATGGCGATTCGTTAATTAAACTTAAATACTGAATCTCTTAAACAAAAGGCGGACTAACTCTGGAAGTTTTCAGTGGGAAGAAACAGGCGTGGTAAAAAAGGGCGAGAAATTTATAGAAATTGAAAGATAAAACTAGAAGCGAACAGTTTCGACTTTTAATAACCCAGATCATGTGACTCGCCTTAGTTATTTCGATGTGGCATTAAGTTTTCATCAGAAGCTCGTGTATCCGCGTCTCATGTTAATTTTTTTTCTAATTTTTTTTTTCTTTTCAAACAACGTGATTGTGTTTGACAAGTTGAATGCTTGAAATTGGCGGCATGATTCAATAGAGTGATCATTAGAAAATGTAGGATTAGTTTATAATTCGGTGTTTGGTGTTAAGGTGGATTGGAGAGGGGGAATTAGGAAGACATTGGGGGAAGGATTTTTTTTTTGAGATAGGTAGATTTTTTAATTGGGGGGGGGGGGGGGGGGAGGGAGGAGGTTACTTTTTGGGGAGAAGGTTGTTAGATAATTGGGACAGGGGGTTGTTTTTTTTTTTGAGGGAGGGAGTTGACTTTAAGAAGGGGGGGGGGGGGGACTTTTTTGACGATGTAGCATAAAATTAAAACTCCGATACAATTGTGTGACGCAATATAAGCGTTTATAGTTGGGTTCAGGGGTTAGGTTCTATATTGGGTTAAGCTTACGTCTCCGGTGTCAGTGCGTCATATCTACTCTTTATATAGATAATTTAATTAGACTCGATATTAATTAATTATGTGTTTTGGTTGCGTGGGAGTTATTATACATGAACATTAGGAATTCTTCAGTTATTCTGCTACACTTTCTGTTATAGAATTTATTGGTCGCCGTTAGTACACTGAAGCTGGGCTAGGGTTAGATGTAGAGCTACACCGTTCAGAACTTGATGGTTAACTTTAACCACAACTCCATAAACTAGTATTGCTGATAACGCTACGATAACTACACCACAAAACCCTAACTCTAACCTGAACCTGAACCTAACCTATCTCAGATGCGATATCAGTATCATCAATCAGACCTTATATAATGATTATACGATAAAACAAATAACAATATCAATAAAAATCTAACGCTGTTCTAGCTCTGGTTTATCAGCATCTATTAATTTCCTAATATATATATATATATATATATATATATATATATATATATATATATATATATATATATATATATATATATATATATATATATATATATATATTATATTATGTCAAGCTTCCAGAGAGTTTGCCCACACCGGAAATGCCTATCTTATCTCTAGAAATTCTAGCCTGAACGTCTCAATGTTGCTTAGCGCAATGTACTTTCTTCTCTAGATGTATTCTCTTTAGCCCTTCCTTTCCTCCCACGTACATTTAGCCAGGTTACACCTTACACCTCACCCACATACTCTCCCACACCGCCCCCACACAAGTCTACTTCTGCCTCTCACTATATCCACACATCCTACACCTCCCTTCCCCACAACATCCCACCCTCACAAGTCTATTCCTGCCCCCCCCCCCCACACATATCTCACCCCACATATTCTATGCCCCCACACACATCCCACCCACACGTCTACTCCTGTCCCCTCACCATATCCACATATTCCACACGCCCACCCACACACATCCCCTTACCCCACATACTCTATACCCCAACACAAGCCCACCCACACACCTCCACTCACCCCACACAAGCTCACTTCATATTGCAGTAGGCGACGACTTGATGTGAAATACTTTTTTTTTTAAAGACGGCCATCTTAAATGTCGCAAGATGTAACCTTTGTACATTGTAAGACTCATAAATTAAACCAAGTCAGTTTTTACTTGGTTGGACAAAGGCTATGAAAGCAAATCCAAAAAGAAAATTTAGGCTGAAATCGGAGTCAATGGCCTCAATGGCGCATAAGCAGTTGACACGTATCCTTAATTGTGATGGAGGCGTGGTCGAGTCGGCAAAAAGCTCATGGATGATAAATTCGAAAAAAGTCTCGAGTTCAATCCCTCTGGCAGATAAGGCTCGATCCCTTCCAACACTAAAAATTAAGAACGAAGAAGAAGAAGAAGAAGAAGAAGAGATAAAATGTAACTGGTCTGGTTTTAATCCATGTATTTTTAGTCGTAGCCTATGTAGTGTCAACTTCATTCCGAACGAATTACTAAAAAGTGGACAATAAAACAAATATAAAAACTTTTAGAATAACAAGCTTTTAAGAAAGAACATAATATATCAAACTAGCTTTCTTTAATAAAAAAAAACTGAAGTCGCTAAAATTTGTAAGAGATATCATGAGCGACCAAGCAATTATAAAAGCAAGGAAGATTATTTTATGTTCTTATTTTCAGTGCATTAAATAAAAGCTTGTTGTTATAGAAGTTTTTATATTTGTTTGATTTCATCCCTAAGCTTAATTTTAATGTTATTTCTCTTTAACATGCCTATAAAAAAATATTAATACAAAATTATGAACATCTTATAAGAGAACAACCGGTAGCCATACATATGTTGTTTTTTTTTAACAAACTGACATTTTCTCAATGCATACCAACACAATACTGGAGCTAACATGTCCTTTAGATGGGACGTAGACAGGCTAATGGCTTTTTTTTTAATTGGACGTCATTGTGCTATAAGATATACAGATACGACTTCATGCAATGAAAAGACGAGCATTTATTTCTACAAGAGTAGAAGATAGCACGTGACTTGATAACATCTAAAGTAAAATAAATGGAACAAACTTAATCATACAAAAATATGTTACTCATGAACTGGTAAGAATGTGGAACAGGAAAATAAAACGACTGACATGGGACGTAAACGTAAGACTCGGGACGTATATAGTAAGACTCGGTACGTATATAGTAAGACTCGAGACGTATATAGTAAGACTCGGTACGTATATAGTAAGACTCGAGACGTATATAGTAAGACTCGGTACGTATACAGTAAGACTCGAGACGTATATAGTAAGACTCGGGACGTATATAGTAAGACTCGAGACGTATAAAGTAAGATATGGGACGCAGAGGCGTAGCGAGGGGGGCGGGGGGGGGGGGGGGGGGGGTGCGGACCGCACCGGATGACACCATTTGGGGGGGGGGGTGACACCAAGGCAAAAAATAGCAAAATATATAGAGAAAAATGATAATTCCACTTAATTAAGTATTAACTCGAGTGTTAAATAGTCTCTTAAGAGGTGCAAATAAAAAGTTTGAGGGGGGGGGGGGGGGGGTGCGGCAAATCGAAAGTTTGAGGGGGGGGGGGAGTGCAAATCGAAAGTTTGAGGGGGGGGGGGGTGCAAATCGAAAAGTTTGTCCCCGGGAAGGTACGCTACGCCTCTGGGGAGTGACACGATTAAGTTCCGCACCGGGTGATACCCGACCTCGCTACGCCACTGATGGGACGTATAAATTAATACATACATGGGACGTATAACGTAAGACATGAAACGTATAAAATAAGGCATAGGACGTAAAAGTAAGACTTTGGGCGTAAAATTAAGACGTGGGACGTATAAATTAAGACGTGGGACATATAAGACTCAGTTCAAATGGTGAAAAAAAGTTTGGAACACTTTCTCTCGGGCATCTCTCATTTTTCAGGCGGTGCCACCTTCCTCCCCCCCCCCCCCCACGAAATAGAACCATTTTCTCTCCCCTGCTCGGAAATTGAAGTCCGTCCCTTTCCCTCTCCGTCCGGTAGTTTCAAGTGCCTTCCGAGCAAAAATGTCTGAAAGAAACACTGGTTTGGAACCAATATAACATACAACAAGGGATGTCGTGGTCTAATGGTAGAGCTTACGACTGTTAGCCCAGATGTCTAGAGATAGGATCCCAGGCTTTTTAAGTCCACCAAGCTCTGGTGGGTACCAGACGCACGTAAGTGGGGCGAAGGCAGCTGGGCATATTACTGACCACACTATCCCCTGCATGTCGATGCCATTGAAATAGATAAACTCTACTTCATCTACCCCATACTTCTTTGGCACGAACGGGAAAAGATACTGAGACGATAAGCGACAACTCCTAGTCATTGGTCGACAGTCTTATTGTTTTCTTACAGAGATTTGAAACGTGAATTCAGAAATGAACTTGGTATATTGTTGCCTCTCCGAATATGAGAGGTATCAGATAGACTGGATTCATGTTATTCTACTTATTTTTTAACTGCGAGAAATTCTAAAGTACCAGAATGTGTTTAGTTGGAACTAAACAGGATTTTGTACTTTTGGTAGACATTCTGGTTTCTTTAGAACACAATCATGAAAGTTTCCTCTTTTCAAAGCTAGGAGGGTAACTTCCAACTTCCTACTCACGTGGGGGGGGGGGTGTCCTGCTCTCGATTTCCACCACAAAAAGATCGCAGTTCTCCTGGTAAACTCATTTCTAGGCCCACCAATTTAGTTGTATGGCTAAACATTTACTGTAAGACATTAACTATTTATTGTTTCACTGGAATGCCTTTAAAAGTTAAAAGTAAAGTGTAGAATACCTTGGGATCAATACAAAAGTAAAGGTTATAAAACAATGAATCAGACACGGGGGTCTGTTTTATTTTCATGATTTTAATCTGCTACTCATAAACTTGTACAGGGCATTATAATTATTTGTGTTGTAAACGAAAACTTTTTAAAATATGTCCATACGTATGTGTCACTCTATATATTTTGAAAGCGTATAGCTATGTGTAAGTCTGGCTACCTTAAGCTCTATGAAAGCATAATAGTATATGAGCCGACACAGGGCGTAGCATACGCCACTATTTAGTTAGTTGTTTTATTTTCTACTTTTCAGTAATTCATAATTTGCGTCCCTTCTCTTCCCCCCCCTTCCCCTCTCGTGAAAGCAGACGTCCGCGACGACAGTGAAAAGATCAAGCAGAACTTGTTACCTCCCCTTAGTT